ATATATTAGTACTATATACCTAAGTACTTTATTAGCCTATACCTCTTAGTAGCGCTCTTATATAGCGTTAATCGATTTTCTAGTAGTTTAGTTTTATACTTAAGTAAGGTTTTAAAAGTACTTATCCTTTAAACCTAACTAAGAAAGTATTATGTTATACCTTTATCTAAAAGTATATTATATAATCTAGGTAAACGTATAATATCTATAAAATATACTTATAATACTTATAAGTAAGTAGTATTTATAGGTTATCTTTAAATTCTTCTTATAGTTACTATTCTTATTATAAAGCTATAAAGATATTAACTATAGTAATAGCTATAATATAGTTTCCTTTATATAGTACCGGTTAATACTAAATTAATATAGCTTATTAGTTTTCTATAAGAATTTAAATTCTTTAAAGTATAAAGCGTATTCTTTAATTATAGTATTTTCCCTTAATAGTAAGGGTAGTAGTATAAGTTCGTTTTTATCTTTTATATCTCTAGGTATTTCTTATTCTTTAAAGCTTATATCGTTAATACTTTATTATTCCTTTTTAGGTTATTATCTAAGTTTTATAAGTATAAAAGCTATATTTATATCTTCTTTATTATATTATTTATAGACTACTTATTATTATTATTAATTTTTATTTTATATATCTTCTTAAAATTACTTACTATTCTTTTTAATTTAGTCTTAAGATACTCTTTTAAGATAAGGGTATTTTAGTTCTATGAATTTAACTTATTTCTATATTTTAAGATCCCTTTATTATATTATTATAAGGGTTTTCTTTAATAGCTTTAAGAACTATTTAATACCGTTCTTATCGCTTAAGTATACTATATATTTATTATTATAATATATAGTTTAACTAAGGAGTTTATACTTTAGTTCTTATTTATTAGTAATATTTAGGTATTTCTTACCTTTTAAGGCTAGTACTTAGTAGGTTTTCTTCTCCTTATAAGGTTATCTATATTCTTTAAAATAATATCTAAGTTTCCTATAATTAAAATACTTTCTTTTACTTTTTTATATTATATTTAGGTCTATCCTACCTAGGTTAGTTATATAAGTATAGGTAATAAGAGTTTCGCGCTTCTTTTTATAGTTAGCGCGTTAGTTAAAGTTATTCTTATAAGAAGGGTTCTAGTTTACTCTTCCTTATTTCTTTTCTTAGTATCGCGTATACTATTTATTATTAATTTATACTACTATAGTAATATAGTCTAAGAGGTTATTAGGTCGATTTTCCTTATAGAGCTCGTTTATAACTTCTTCTTTAAGCTTATTATAGAATCGTAATATAAGAGGTTCGTCGTCCTAATTAAGCTTTAAGGTAACTTAATAGAACTTTATAATATAATTTAATACTAAGATCCTTTATTAAAGTTCTTAAAGTTTTTATTTAGCTTCTTATTCTTTATTAGTTATTTAAAATACCTTTATAATAGCTTCTTTAAATCCTTAAAAACTAGTAAAGACTTTATCTATCTCGTTATCTTATCGCGCTAGTTAGTTATCGAGAAAATCCCTTATAATAGGTCTAAACTAAGTAAGTACTATTCTAAATAAATAATTTCCTATATAGAGTACCTTTTTAACTAGGTCTAAGAGTTTTATAAGGTAAAACTAATAGTAAGCCTTAAGTTAAGTAAGAAAGTCTTAAAGTATACTATAAGTACTATTAAATAGTCCTAGCTATTTTAGTTTAACTACTTCTTTAAGGTCCTTAACTTATCTATTACCTCCTTTATTCTTAAGTAACTATACCTTATATTAAAGGGTAATAATCTCGCGTATTATATCTTAAGGTAATATAATAGCTTTAGAGTTAGTTAATCTAACTTACTATATAGGTATATTAATAGTTATAATATTACTTAGAGTAACGCGATATTATACTAAATAAGAGCTTTTAACGTATAATAACTAGTATTATTCTTAAGGGATAAACCTATTAAAGGGTTTATATTAATAGATATAATAAGGCGTGGTCTAAGTAATAATAAGTATATTACGTTAGTAATAAGTTAGAGGTCGTAGACTATAGGCTATAACTAAGTATTTAAGTAATTAGAATTAAAGATAAGATTATAATAAAGATCTTAATAATTATATTAAAAGCTATTAAGCTATCTATTTAAAGGAGTAAAAGTAGGTAGCTATATATACCTATAGAAACTATCCTTAGATTATAGGCCTAGCTATAATCCCTAACGTTAGATCGTATAAAGCGTAGTAATATTATTAATCCTAGATTACTTAGATCTCTATAATCCCCTTAATCCTATATCTATTAAATAGTCGTGCTAACTATTTATCTATTAGACTATATTACGTGCTTAACGCGGTCGACCGTTAGTAGCCTAGTAGCCGTAGTCGTAATAAGGTATAATTTAAAAAGGCATGCCTCTCTTATACCTTCTAGACCCTAAACCTTTTACTTAGTTACTTTATAAGGTAAGCTTATAACCTAGCTATATAAGATAACCTTATTAACTTAAGCTTTAATATAGAGACCTTTAGCTATATTAAGCTATATATATAGCTCTTCTACCTTCTTAAAAGCTTAGTAGCTATTATAAGACCTAGCTATAACTTAGAAAGAAGGAAAGCTAGCTAAGAGGCCTTATAAGCCTTAAAGCCTAAGGCCTTTATTATAATAATAAAGGCCCTTAACCTCTTAGTTAAGAAGTAGTACTAACGCCTTATAGCTAGCCTAGCTAGCCTAGAAGACTTTAGGCTATAGCCCTTAGCCTTTTATATAGATAGCTTTAAAGGGTGCCTTAAAGGGTCCCTTATAAAGACTAACGCTTACTTTTTTTATAAAAAAAGTATAGAAAATAGGCCTATTAAGGTATACTATAAGAACCTAGGGCCTTTAATTAAAGTACCTAATATAGAGCTATTTATATTACTAATAGTCTTAAAGGACCTAGCTAAGAAGCCTCGGCCCTTAAGGCCTAGCCTATTTAACCTTTTTATAGAAGTATATATCTTTATAAATAGCTTAGTAACTATAAGGAAGGTTATAAGCTTCTTAGACCTAGCTATATATCTTAAAAAGCTCTTAATTAGCCTAGAAGCCTTTTATAATATATAGCTATATTAATACCCTAGCTACCTAAGGATCTTTAGTAATAAGCTAGCTAACTAGCTAGCTAAGAAAGGCTTAAGGGCCCTTACTTAAGGGATCCCTTTAGTCTTTATTAGCTACTTATAAAGAAACGTATAGTAAGCTATTAAAGACTACTAGATAGGCCTCTAGGCTACTAAGGTAGCTAAAGGCCTTAAGGCTAAGGGCTTAAGTAAGTACTTTTATCGTAAAGTATAGCTTAATTAATATTCTTAGAGATATCCCTTAGTAAAAGGGACCTAGGAAGCTAAAAACACCTAGTATAAAAGAAGGAAGAAGGAGCTAAAAAGAGGTATAGAAAAGAGGGTAGGGATATAAAGGGAAGTAAAAGTAGTAATAGCTTCTTATAAAGGTAGTAAAAGATAAGATAGATATACTAGTAATAGCTAGAAAAGAAGGGAAAAACTAGTAAAAAGCTTAGTAGTTAAGAGGATATTAGTAGCTTCTTTAAGTAAGATCTTCTTTATTAATCGAGATACTAAACGGGTATAAAGAAGAGCGTTAGATAAAGGAAAGAAGGATAATTAAGGCAATATAATAATTACTCCCTTACTATAATTACTGCCTTAGTAAGAATTAAATATCTTTACCCTACCTATCTAACCTATTACTTTTAATTTTACCTTTATATATTTTATATATACTTCTTATATCTCTCTTTTTAAGAACTTTATATCTATTTAAAAGACCCCTTACTTAGCCTTTAGTTTAGAAAAGCACTTTATAAGGAGGCCTAGGCCGATACTTTCGGCCTTTTACTAGCTCCTCTTTAAGGCTAGCTTCTTATTTTCCTTCTTAAAAAGGACTAATAAGGTAGGCTAAGATAACTACCGCTATAGCTAAGGAAGGTATATAGCTAGGCACCTTATACTAAGGTGCCCGAACTATAGGAGGGAAAGAGAGGTCCTTTATTAGGCCTCTAAGAGATAGAAGGAGGCCCTTAGCCTACTAAAAGTATCTACTATATAGGCGCGGGGAATATATATATATATAAATCTATAGTATCGGCGCTATGCCTTAACTAGCTATACTAGCTTACTTTTTAATTACTAGTTAGCTAAACCTACTTATTAGTTAATAGAGGCGTAGTACTAAGGGAATATAACTACCTTAGGGTAGCGAAGTTACTACTTACTACTTAAGCTGCTTTTATAACGTTATCTAGAAAGTTCGATAACATCGCTTAACAATCGCGCATTTTATTATACGTATCCTAAATGCGATATATTCTATGCTTCTCTATAGCTGGATAGACATAATTACTATTCATTCACGTCTTCACAGTCAGTGTGCAGACAACGGGCTATAACCCTTTGCGCTTCTGCCATTGCAACGTGGGTATTAGCTAAAATTAGGCCCTTCATGCTAGATAAATAAGACACTAGAAAAGAAACAAGTTTAGTTATCTAATGTGGGCTTAAGCTAAGTAGCATAGCCTGAAGATCTAGCTTTTTATAGAAAGCATCCACCACGGTGTCGTTAACATAGTCTAACCGGTGACCGCAGCGACTGGTCACGACGTCGTCTACGCTTGCGCCGTCATCACAGCAAGAACCCCAACAGTTATGAACTAAGTCGAGCGCTGTCGGATTTGAGCTCGACATATGGCTGTTGTTGATAATGTTAAGCATCGTAGGTATTGCAACTTCGTGAAATACGTCAAATCGCCTAAAGACGCTGGCGAGAAGAATGTAGTCAGCAAAGAAGCGTCGAGGGATAAAGTATATATCGCTCCATCCAAGGCACCACTCCTTAGGATTGACTTGGTAGCTTAGCCCTAGTTCTTGGACTGCCAGAGAAGCATTCATTGAGTGCTGGTGAATATTGTCATTCCAACCCCACCACGAAGGGTACTCGTCGGGGCTGCTCATGCACTTATGATGTGGTCCACCGTCAGCAATCCAGATGTTGTCCCAGTTAGTATTGTTCCATGCAAGCGGGTCAAGCCAGGCATCGAAATGGAAATACATTAGTCCCTTGATATTAGACTTGCCGGCCAGCGCCAGTTGCATTATTTCGGCAACTTGATGGTAGATTGTGAAAGTTCCTGGAAACTGGTCGTGTGTCCAATTGTAGGCCTCAGTCGGGTAACCCGGCATCATGTCGGGAATGGAGATGTGAACAGTATCAAAGAACGGCTGGTACTTCATAACGTAAGGGATGCGTTCTGGATGGGCCGAGTTCCAGCGAACCATGGCGAGAACGTCATGAAAGGGGGATGCGCTCGTCGGATTTTTCGCCACATTCTGGTTCTCCGGGAGGACGCTGATCGGGGCCTTGTTTTTGAACATGGCCATGAACGTGACTATCCCAATCGTAGTGATGGTCAATGAGCCAAGGATAAGGCTGCCATGTCTCGTAAACCTTTGAGGAGAGCGACTGTCGCCCGCCAAGGGAGCAACGGGGCCGGGCTGCGGAGCCGGATAGGCCATGTAGAGGCACGAGGCAAAGAAGACTATAATGGTGCCAATGGGTACGAAAGCTCCTAGCTCGGATCCGAAAAGCATTGGTGAGATGTAGAGGAGAATTCCCGTAGCGACAGCCGTCGCAAGGCACTTAACGACGGCATCGGCATCTGCCATGTTGTCAGTCAATGGTATAGCGGGCGATGAGACGACATGACGTGCATTTTAAGACTGAAGTAATGGCAAGGCCGATAAAAATATGGCTGACGATGACGAGGATTGCGCGAATATCATGGTATCCCTGGAGAAAGTGCGGCTCGTTGGGAGTTAGACAGAAGATAAAGATGTGGCAGAGAATGTTGATGCCGGCACCGAAGGCGTATAAAAGCATATTGTCGGCGTGTATACTTGTATTGCTACTTTTCAATAGGTGCTGGTTATAGACGCCCGACGATGCGCTAATGAAGATTTGGAAGAAGAGAACAGCATATGTACTGGCGGGATATGTTGAACCGGTTCCCGGCTTGTATTGCGTTAGGATTAGGCCGAATACCTGGATGCCGTCAGACTAAAACAACTTGACCAAGACCTAGGTCAACGCACCTGAAGAAGAACTGCTGCCCATTGGGTGCGAGAGATGGCAGTCTTGAGGGTGGAAGCCATGATGATGGCGGTGATCAACGTTCCGCCCGTTTTGCTCAACTGCACAGTCCCTGGATCCGCCAGATGATAGCTGAGAAAGACCTATCTTTCTGGATCAGCCCATGCTCTGCGTGCCTTCTGCTTTCACTCGTCTAGTAAGGGGCAAGTAATCGTCGATATAGGGCGACTCCCGATTGGAAGCCATGCTTTCCGCCAGAGACGTACCGAATTGTTGATGAGAGTATAGCAAAGGGCCAAAATATAGAAGCCGAACTGCTTCTCCCTAGTCACTTCGCCGCGAAAGTAGCTCCAGAGTGCGCCCACGTCCATTTTTGAGGGCACAGTTGCGCTGAAGCACTTGCTCTGTGCAGAAACATACTCGTCGCCGAGAGCGTCTTGGCCGTTGTGCACTCCTTGTTCATCGGAGGCATCCGTCGAGCTGATGGGGAGAAAATCGTGGTTCTCTGCCGCCCGGGTCCTGGGTCCAACTCCGCTGGCTATATGTCGAGCGCACTCGCGGCGAAACAAGGCGATCGACAGGACCAATTTACCTAGCTCGGAGAAGCTGACGGAGCCGGATGTCGAGAAAGAATACGAGCCGTTGGTCTGCGCGGTCTTCAGGATGATGCCGATGCCAACCTGAATGACCACTAAGCCCGTCGCGGCGGCCAGCGCTTGATAGTAGCCCCGGGCGGGCTGCATATTGAGTATCGTTTTGCCAGGTCGGAAGAATAGGATGGCCCAATCCGCCTGCAAAATAACAACAGCTGTAGTGGCCGACTTGTCGTTCAGGTTATTCTTCAACGAGAGCAGGTTGAGTCGTAACATATGAGAGGGCGATATTTGAAGATCTGGGCACCTTGCCAATGGAGAATTGAATTACAAAAAGCTCGCGAGTCAAGGGCTTAGGATCATGTCACAAATATCAAGACTAATCGGGTCGACTAAGCTTAGGCTGGCCTGGTGAGAATCGTCCCCCTAGTCATAATCCCAGTAGGGCTAACGATGCCAAATACCGGCGCTGTTTCAACAAAGCCTTACGCCTGGAGGGGGTCTCCACCACGGGCAAGACCCGGCAATCACGAAAGCAAAATCCTCAGTTAAGGGGGCTGTGCCATGTTTTGAGTTCGACCTACGAAGCTAAGAAACTGTATGGAGCACTAGCAAAGAGGGAGCCGAGGCCCAATGTCGCCGCACGCTTGTTTTGTCAGCCACGGGCAATGCCCAAAGCCCTGGCGCCCACCACTCCTAATTAGACTTGGTTCGTAGGTCGAATGGGCTGGCCTCGGGGGTTACATGAGAAGCTAGGAACGAGTTTATAATCACAGGATGTTTCAGACGCAGAGCTTCGCCTTGACTATCAAGCAACCCGGTCTGCCGAGCAAGCATAGTTATGGGTAACAATTTATCTACTAAGCCAGCTGGAAAGACCTGTTCTAGCTGCATCAGTTGGTCTTAGGGTCTTAAGGTTTAAGTTTAGGGTTTGCAGGTGTGATCCCGGGCGGCACAACGAGAGGATTCATGAAGGGCCATTGCGAAGCACAGAGTCGGTTTTCGTCGTCGCCACTTTCCGAGTCGGTACGGCCGACCGGAGTATCTTCGGCGATGTCCTCCTCCGAAATTTTGGGAGATTTCCCATGTCCAAAGCCGCATCAACCAGGGGGCATCCCCAGGCGACCCACCAAGCTAGCCATGGCTTGAAACAGAGGGCAGTACGTGAAAGCATGGCGTAGTGCTAGTACTAGCATTATATAGCAGTCACCCTCTCTGCCTTAACTCGATTTCGTCTGACTCTATATGCAGCACTCCCTGACATCGTCCAAGTACTCTCACCTCCTGCTATTGTATGGACAGCTCGACTTTACGCAAGTATGACGATTCAACACGAGGTCTCCTTTAGCCACGCCGCCGCTGGCGAAACTCAAGATCAACCTCTCAACGTCATCATCCCTATCGGTGGCATCGGCTCCCGCTTTGCGAAGCATGGCTATCGATATCCCAAGCCTCTCATCAACATTGTCGGCCGTCCGATGTTAGCGTGGCTTTTAGGCAACTTGAGGTTCAAGCCTGCTGACACTGTTTGGATCGCCGTCAATGAGGACATTGACGAAGAGTTCCACCTCGGCCAGCTTGTTAGCAAGACGCTGCCGCACATTGAACACCACATCTTGAGGTTAAAACATCAAACCAAGGGAGCAAGTGAGACGGTAAGTCGAAGCTATCGAGAACGGTTCTAGTCGGCTAAGGCTAATGCTGGCTTTTGTGTAGCTCTATATTGTCAGCCAGTCCATGTCAAGAGAGAATCTGCAGCAGAAGACTGTCTCACTGGATTGCGATACAATTTATTGGGCCGATATCCTAGCGCAGGTTCGTGGCTTGCCAGTAGACCATGGCGCCTGCTTCCACTTCCCTGACGACGGGGATAAGCCTGTCTTTTCCTACATTAAAACAGAGCTTCGGTGCGTTCCACCACCGTTTAATTCGGGTACATGGAGGTTAGGGAGAATGCTAATGACAGGCTGACGCAGAAACGATCTCAATTACATCACGGATATTCAGGAGAAAAAGGCCATCTCCAACAAGGCTAACTCGGGCGCATACGTGTTCCCCAGCGGCTTGCAGCTCAAGTTGGGAGCTGCTGAGGTCCTCGACATGAGGGATTTCGATAACCAAGAGATTGGCGAATACTACATCTCGAAGCTTATTGCCCACATGATTAAAAAGGGCATTTCCTTTACGGGCATGGGTATCCAACAAAATGACTTTAGTTGCGTCGGCACACCTCAGCAGCTACAGGACTTTCTCTTATCAATTAAGACTAGTAAGTGCAACCTCTCTATCATAGGTCAGAAGAGTCGTTTCTGCTTCGATCTCGATGGGACGCTCGTTGGCCTGCCTGCCGTTGCTGGGGACTACTCGACCTGTCCCCCCATTGACCGGAATATCCGCCTCCTACGAGAGCTGTTTGAAGCCGGTCATCACATCATTATTGTGAGTCGCTAATTAAAGCCCGCACCGTCCGATCTAAAGTCAATCAACTAACGCTTCGCCCTCTCTTATAGCAAACTGCGAGACGCATGCGAACCCATAACGGAAACGTCGGATCAGTTATTGCTGATATCGGACCTATAACGTTTGCTCAATTGGCTAAATACAACATTCCCTTCCATGAAATCATCTTCGGCAAACCTTACGCCCATATCTACATTGACGACCTGGCTGTTAACGCTAATCTCGATACTATGAGGGAGATTGGCTGGCTTCTTAATGGCTCGACGTCTCTCGCGCTATCCGAACCCGAGGTTGTCCACGAGCAGGCAGTCAAGAAGGGCATGATTGCAGCACGCGACTTCAACACGATTCAGATAATCGACGGCAAGGTCATCAAGTCAAGCAAGTCGGAAAACATAATTGGCGAACTATTCTTTTATTCCCATATGCCTCCTGAGGTTGCCCCTTATTTCCCCGCTATCTATAGCGTCGACCTGCTCCCTGATACCAACACCTACACCACGACCATGGAGAACCGCAAAGGACTAACCTTTTCGCATCTTTTGGTCGGCCGCTCCATCACCTTAGGTCGTTTCGACTTACTGTTAAAAACTCTATGTTCGATTCACTCTAGTCAAAGGACAGACCAGCAGAGCCTCCCAGTATCGCCAGAGCTTAAGGCACGGTTCAACAAGTATATCTTGCCGAGCGTAGGCCTTCAGACAAACATATACGCGAACTACGGCTCCAAGCTTCGCTCGCGATACCATAAGCACCGCGATCGGTATAATGCGCTCGGCCCCCAGGCTGCTCTACTCTTTGGTCGATTGATCGAGATCCTGGATATATACGAGGCCGAGGACAGGGGCATTCGTGCATCCATTATTCACGGCGATTCTGTCTTCAGCAACGTCATCTTGTCGAATGACCAGAAGACAATCAGCTTCATCGATGTGCGCTGCCAGCTCGGCGATACGTTAACGCCTGAAGGCGACATCAATTACGATCTTGCCAAGGTCTTACAGTCCCTCTGTGGCTACGACCATCTGCTCTTGTTAGGAGAAAACCCTAAGAAGTTGGAACACATAATGACCAAGAACAAGCCACTGCTGGATCAGGCCGATGCCGATCTCTTGGAGGATCTGCAGCATGCGTTCTTCACCTTCCTGGATAACAATTACTCAATGCGCCTGGACCGCAAGACGTTGCTGCGTATCACGGCGTCGCTACTTTTTAGCCTGATTCCTTTGCATAAACCCGAAATGGGCTCTGTGTTCCTCCGGCTCTGTCAAGAGACGCTAGAAAAGGCCAACCAATAAACGAGTTCAGTCAGAAGGATTCTAGCCAGGCGACAATCTACGCAAATCGAACGTGAATAAATACCAGAGAAGCGCTTGTTGTATTTGTGGCGAAGCGTGGCCTGATTTCGCAGTTCTCGAAAATATCCTGCTAAGGGGCCTTGGTAACTAAGTTATACGTACTAAAAGAGACCGTCTCCTTAGGCTACTAAAAGAGGGTCCTTTATAGTAGACTTATTCCTCTTAGCAGGGAAAGATAACTTCTTAAGAGGTTCCTTCCTAAGAATAGGTTAGAATTTAAGAATAAATTAACCGAATTTCTCCTTAATAAGCTTAATCGTTTAATTCTTTTAGACTAGCCTTATAAGCTTAGAAGTTATATCTTAGAAGATTTATTCCTTTTAAAGAAAGTAAAAGGAAATTAAGCTTATTAAAAATTAAAGGTAAAAAGCTACCCTTTTTCGTCGAAGGATTTATATAGACCTATTAAGTAATTTTATTATAAAATTTACCCTTCTATACCCTTTTATCTATATAGTCGATTCCCTAGTAATAAGGTATTCCTTTTATACCTTCTTAAAAGACTAAAATTATAAGAGGGTATTATAAATATTAAGGGAAGTACCGGAATTAAAGATAGCTAATTTTTATAAGGGATAATTAAAGGGCTTTAACTATTAGTCTTAGCCTTATTAATTTATAGGGAAGACTAAAGCTAGATTTACTATACTAATAATATTTCCTTAAATTTATAGCTTAAATAAAAGTAGCAGTGTTAGTTACTATTTCTTAGTAACCTAAATCTTATTTATCTTCTTCTATAATAAGGGGACCTTATTATAAGACTATTATATTATTTCTTATAGCCCCTTTAAAGGGTTAAATCCTTTAAGTCGGTTTTCCTTAAAGACCTATTATTATTATAATAACCTATAGCCTAGGGATTTATAAGCTAGGTAGCCGTTATATCTTTTAGTGTTTTATTTCTCCGAGGAATCCTTATCTTAGTTTAGAAGGTTTACTTTAAAAACCCCTTTTCTATACCTTATTACTAATTTTAATAAAGAGGTTCGATTTCGACTAGTTCCTTAATTTTTCGACTAATAGACCTTTTAGTCTATTAAGGGACTAGTTAGGCCGGACGGACTATTTAGGACGGGGCCGGGCCTAGAGTAATAAGCGTAGCTAGGGCTAGGGTAGTAGCTATAGTTAAAAATAGCTTTAAGGCTCTTAAAGGAGGAGGAGCTAAAAGGGCAATAGTAGTAGTAGTAGTAGGGGCTATAGTAAGAAAGGCTATAGTAGCTATAAGGGTAGTAGGTAGGGCCGTTTAAGTCGAATACTAGCTTTAAAGAAATAATATTATTAGAAATAAGACTACTTATTATTATACTTTAATAGCCTCTTTATTTAAGTCTTAGCTAGCTTCTTAAAAGATAGTTAAATAACTATTACTAATAAGCTTTATTAATAGAAATATATCTTATAGCTACTAGCTAAAAAAAGCTTTTATTAAGAAGTATTAGTTAGCTTCTTAAAGGATTTCTTCTTACTTAGCTAGCTATAAAAAGGCTAGAAAGTTACTAGTAAAAAGGGCTCTTAAGTAAGCCGAATAGGTCTTCTTAATATAGTTAGTTATATAGCCCTTTAAGGAAGCTATTAAGGTCTTAAGCTTTAAAAGCTATTACTTAAAAGTCTCTTTTTCTTAAAAAAATATTAGCTTTATAGTATTAATAGATCCTATTATCGCTATATATATAGTAGTTAGTAGCTTTATCTAATAAAGGTATTCCTTATAATAACTCTTATAGTTACCTAAGGTAGTAGAAAATACTCTTTACTATATAAAGGTTAGCTTAAAGAAGAGGTTAGCTCCCTTTATAAATTTTATTACCCTAAGATAAATAAGGGGCTTAAGAGGGTCCTACTTATTAAAGAAGACTAAATTATAAATAGTTCTATCTATATAAGCCTATAGCTTTCTTACCTACTTATCTTAATCCTAAGGCTTTATAAGAAACGTTTTATAAACTATAAGGGTAGTAAAGGAATCGTTTTTTAATATTATTATAAAAAAGGGGGAAGAAAGGTTAGTTAAAAATCAGCTTTTTTAGTAAGAGTGGTAAAGGGGAGCTATAAGGGATATAAGAAAGGTACCTTTTATAGTAGCTAGAAGATATAGGAATTCTATACCTCCTAAGCTTATAACTCTTAGAAAGAGAGATATAAGAAGTATAAATAAATTATATAAAGGTAAAATTAAAAGTAAGAGGTTAAATAAGTAAGGTAAAGATATTTAATTCTTATAAAGGTAGTAATTAAAGTAAGGGAGTTATTATTATATTACTTTAATTATCCTTTTTTCTTTTATTTAACGCCCTTATTTATACTTATTTAGTATTTTAATTAATAAAGAAGATCTTACTTAAAGAAGCTACTAATATCCTCTTAACTACTAAGCTTTTTATTAATTTTTTCCTTTCTTTTCTAAACGTTATTAGTATATTTATCTTATTTCTTACTACCTTTATAAGAAGCTATTATTACTTTTACCTCCCCTCTTACCTTTACCTTTCTTTTTATACTTCTTTTTAGCTCCTTCTTTTAAACTAGGTTTTTAGCTTCCTAGGTCCCTCTTACTAAAAGATATCTCTAAGAACTATAAAATTAAGCTATACTTTATAATATAACTACTTATAATTAAAGTAAAAGGGAAAGATAAGTTTAAGGTTAAAGAGATATAAGCTATATATTAAAAAAAGGTTAATAAAAAGAAACGCTAAAAAGTCTTTATTAAGTAGTATAAGTATCTTAACCTTATATTAGAACCTATATATAAGTTTATAAGAGCTATAACCCTTAATAAGTTTAAGGCTTTATATAAGCTAGTAAATAGAAATAGTAAACTAATAAACTATTAATAGTAGCTTAAACTAACACTATAAGGTAAGGAAAGTAAAGTAAATAGTAATAGTAATATAAACGTTTTAATATAAGTAGAGATAAAAATAGTATTTACTTTAAAGTAAAGCCCTTAAACTACCTAAGCTTATTTCTTATTATTACCTTTATCCTTACCCTCTTTATTATTATTATTATTATCTTTATTAGCCTCCTCTTCTTTATTAGCGGCGGCTATACTTTCTAAGGCGCTAAGGCGGCCTTTTAAGCCTATAAGCTAATCGGCTATAGCGGCGGCCCTTAGGGCGGTAGAGGTAAAAGGGAAGCAGCTAATAGTAGTAAGTATAGCGAAGAGAACTACTAATAAAGTAATAGAGGTAGTATCCTTAGTACTAAGGGAGTTAGTAGTAAAAGTAAAAAAGTAAGAAGAAAAGAACTTACTTAAGTATAAAGCCTTAGCGCTTTAAGGTATAAATATTATAATAAGTAGCTATAATAATAATAAGGCGGTTCTTAATAGCCCTTTATACCTACTTATATATACTAGCCTTTTAAGCTAATACTATAGTAAGTAAGATAAAAAGCGCTACTATTATAATAGTATATAACTTAGTTAGTATAAATCTTAAGGTATATAAGCAAAAGCGGAATTTTAGGAAATTAAGGAATCACGTAAGACTACGTGATAGAGGGGAGGAAGGAGTATAAGGTAGGATTTTCAACGGAATTTATTAGTAGTGTATTAGTATATGGAAGAGGTGTTAAAGTTAATGATTCTATCTCTATCTACTAGCGGACATGCTGTCTTATATAGACAATTGTAGCTGAACGGAAGAACCTTTCGGGACCAGATTTAGGCTGCCGTATAGCCCTGAGACTAGGGAATTCCGTGATACCTCGAGTGAATCTGGAAGTGTCTTGGTTCCACTGATATTCGTGTTTAAAGGAGGTTGGTCGTGCCGGTGTTCTTAAGAGGTCTTAGCTAGCATTCTAAGCTAGCTCTGTTCCTTCGATTCCCGATTGTACGATAACCGGCAACCCGTTTAATGCATAATGACATGCAAAATGACGAGCGATTCCTGCTCTATAGGATGAGATTTTGTCTATAATTAATATACTACTTATTGGCTTATATAATCGGGAGAGTATATTATAGCTGCTTTATTTATAGTAGGAACACCGTTCCTTACAGCCTCCCTTAAAGAGTAGATTTATATACTCTTTACTAATATTTATTTATAGTAGTATATATATAGGGTAAAAACCTAATATAAGAAAACCATTCTTATACCTTAATAGGATATATAAAAACCTATTCTTTCTTAGGAAAAAATTCTTAGGTATATACTAATAGAAAAACTATAGTAGGAAAAATCTATAGTTATAATAATTATTTATAGGATAACCTTATATAAGGTAAAACCTATTATTACTAGGAAAATCTTAATAGATAAAAACCTAGTAAATATTTCTCTAGGAAACCTAAAAGGAAAAACCTAGTAAGGGAAAGATATAGAAAGCATAAGAAATATCTAAAAACCCCTTTTAATCGCTTAGGAACTTATATTAAGGATAGACCGTCTCTAAATTTATAGAGTAATCTAGGTCTTAATTCCTTCGTAAAAATATTAGCTATATTATCTTCTAATTTAATATAAAAAACTCTAATTTCCCCTTCTCTTATACTAGTTCTAGTATAGTAATAGGCTAATCTTATATGCTTAGACCTTTTATAAAATTCCGGATTTTGTGCTAATTTAATAGCAGTAGTATTATCCGTTAAAATAGGAGGTATAGTATTAAGAATCTTAATAGATAGATCCTTAGTAATATTTTTAAAAAGCATATTTAAATAAATAGCTTCTTTATTTGCCTCCCTAAGGCTAATATACTCTGCTTCGTAGGTAGAAAGGGCAACGGCTTTCTGCTTAGAGCAAGCCTAGCTTATTATATTATTATATATATAAAAATAGTAACCGGAAAAGTATTTTCCGTCCGTTAAATCCAACGCCTAGCTAGAGTCGGTAAAACCCTTTATATATAGATAGGTAAAAGGGATATTGCAATTATATTTAATCTTTAGGCTAGGGAATTTATTTAAATATTTCTAAATTATATTTAAA